CTAGTAAAGCAAGCAAATAACCATGCCTACTTACCTTGAAGCTGGTGTGTGGCTTCGGTTCTTCTCTCACGATAATAAAGAGTAAACCACTACTTTTAACAAGGAAAGAAAGTAAGGAAAGACAAGCGAAAGGAATTCGGGTTCAAGATCCTAACATATGCCTATAATATCCCCTACATTTGGTAAGTTACATGTTCTACGAGTATCTACCTGTCGATTCTGAGCAACACCAACTAATTCATCCCACCGCTGCCACCAAAATTGTAGTGTAGGAGAACGGCGGTGTAGCTCAACACACAAGGAATATACATATATACAGTTTATTTACAAAGTAATACACTATACACATACATATGATTATACATACACCTCATTCACTCATTCATACAGATGAATATCTACAATGAAACTATAAGATATATATATATAAAGTTCATGGCCTTTCTCTGTTCTGTATCTCCTTACGGTGTCTCACTGAATTACTGTTCAATTCTGGTCCCAGTAGAAAAACAATATCTGTCTAAATGACGACAGCACCATTCAACTTCCCGGAATTCCCGGATTCCACCCGATATCATCTGCTGATGACGAGGAATGACATAAGCTGTAGCCGCAGCATCATACCAGCTTTCTGTCCCATAAGTGTTGTCACTCCGACCCCTACGTGCTTTCTGGCGCACCAATGTTGTAGGCAGTCTGGCGAGTAAATTCACAATGTGGAACCAATGTTTAGTTGGTTGTCTTATCCACAATCCACCTTAGGCCATTTATCTCCGAGTTGGAACCAGACATCTGTAAAGTCCAGATGTACACGAATAATAATAATAATAATACTTGTACACACACTCTTCCAAAACTAGCACACTTTATCTAATATGTTCAAACTATATAATGATATCTGGTATAACACTATACATAGAAAATAAACCATTATGCTATAAAACTATATATATATATTAATGATGGCTATGTGTGCATGCCTAAAACATATGTACATACATATATTGTAAATTATCTATGTCTCCATATGCATATTGAACAATACCACGATGTATGCCTTAATAACACTGACAAGGTATAAAATGACTGATTAATGTTACAAAACATGACCACTTG